CCTGTAGTAAATGGGATCCAAGTTCCCTGATGTTGTTTTCTCTTGACGCAGCCATTGGTGGTGTTGCTCCCCAAGCATCCCCAAGACCTGCAAAAAAAATATAAAAAATTGACATTCTTCACAAACGGAACAGTTTTTTTAACGTAACAATAAAACCTGACAAAATTATGCATACAATGGATAGCCGCTGAATAATAGAAAACCCCCGACACAGCGAAAATTTGCGCAAGAAAATATGCTGCAGACTATGAAGAGACCCTCGCAAAAATTGTGTACGATATGGCAACATTTTTGAGACAAAAATAGTGAGAATTTTATCGCTTTATACTGTTTACATGTTTTCCAGAACAAGGCAAACATTGTAAAAGTAGGCCCAAAAAGCATATGATCTTATAGATGAGATACGGCAGTACATCACTAAAAACCTGCGGGAACCATTTTTGACAATTAAACTTCAAAATTTGATAATTCCAGAAAATATGCGTTAGTAGGATTTTTGAAACTTTCCTCGGCAGAAAATGCAAGAATTTTATATTCGCAAACCCGCTAAATAACAACCTTCTTCGTGGGTCAAGTACAACTTTTAGGTTTCGCCTCAAGAAGAAAATTGTTTTCGAAGAAAATTTCACGAAATACCGTACCGTGTATGATAAAAAATAATCCAGCATTGAATCAATTTTCTCACGCGGGGATTTCTTGTAAACATGAACTGATTCGCATTGTACCTAGTTCTTATTTCCCTTCAACACTCTTTCTTGTTGAACAATCATTCAATCAGTAAAAAAAAAAAATCAGAAGAAATTCAAGGCCGAAGCAGAAATAGAATAAAGTCTGTTGCGTGTTTTACTCAATTAGTCACAGCAATTACGAAACATGGACCGATTTTCCTCTTCGCTCCACTTCTTCTACTGTTTCCGAAACAACTCACGACAAACAATGACTCATTTAAGCAGTAGGAAAGGTCTAGTGTTCGGAAAGCGTAGCGAAAAAGCTCGTAAATATTTTCTCCGTTTCTAATTTATGCTGCGAGATTTTATTTTCTAAGCGCATTTAGAAGGAAATACCACTTGAACCTTCTCAAGTCCAATACTCCCCCAAGTAGAATTTTTTTTAAAAGGTATTGTCTGAATCCCCTTAGAATTGATGCATTTAAAATATCCCCAAGTCTAAGGCTTCTTCCCTTAAAACCTCCATAAGTCAAATTTTCTGTGGCCTGTTGGGTTTCATTTTCCGGACACAGGAAAGCAAAAAATAAACAATAAAAACAGAAATTTGATTTGTTTTAAAAGAAAGCGAGAGACTTAATTGGGCAAATAAACCCCTGCCTCCAAGTTCGGGATTCTTTCAACTCATTTAAGAAGTAATTTCAGCCTCAAAATCTAACAATTTACAATTTTTAGCATTTTTTCCTATGCTTCCCAGAAAAAACGGACTTTGTATTGTAGCTCAATTCAAAACCTCCCTAAGTCGAATTTTGTTACTGGTCCCTTGAAATTCAACTTACATGCAAATTTTGGACATCGAAGGATGGAACATCTATTTCTGCGAATATTCAAAGAAAGAACCATCTTGCGATTTAGGATTTCAAAATTTACGAGCTTTTCATATAAAGGATAAACGACGTCAGGAAAACACATTTTCAATATTTTCAAAATCAGGCCATGATTCCAGTTCGAAAACAATAAATTATCTTCTGTTTGAAAAAAAAATGTACGGACTGTTTATGAAATTAAACACTATTTTCCGCGTGCGTAAATCAGAGACCAAAAAAATTTATTACGACTTGAAATAAAATTTTCAAAATGAGCTTGACGAATAAACTCTCAATTCCTATAGTATGGGTCGTGATTTGAATTTGAAGAATCTTTTCAATGGAATGAAGAAGTCCTGCTGTTTCAAATATTTTAAATAGGAAAATTATTATTGAGCCTCAAATTAAAAGACGATTCTCCTACGCTTCATAACACGAGATTTTTTCCTCTTTAATTTCCTTTATGAGGTTCAATTTGAAAAAAAAATACAGGCATAATTTAAATTCATTGCATCAAAGTCGGAAAACATTTACCTAAAATTTGCACATCCATTCAAAACACGGTACAGTTTAAAGAGACTCTCGTTCCGTTATTATAAATATTATCGTACCGTACTTGCTTCCATTTAAAAAAAAGTGAGTCTCAGCACAAATAAACATAAAATCCTCCGCGAAAAATAAAAAAGACCTCCTCCATTCATCCAACGAATCTGATCATCATCACCACATTCAAAAAAAAAAAGATCTCTTATGTTTTCGTGCCACAAATAAAACCCTCCACATCTATACTCAATTGATCGCATCACATCAGAACCCTTATCTGATCCCATGTCACCTACGTTCAATGCATTCAGCTCAGAATAGAACCTTTTAACCATCAATTTTCTCCTCTCCTCTCCTCTCAATTTCCACCCCTCGTGTGTTATTTCTAGCCCGAAGCAGGCATTTAAACCTACGATGGGAATCCTATTTTTTCTTTTGATTAGAATAAAAATCAATGGGAAAAAACCAGGGGTTTTCATCAGATAACCGCAATATAACAGGTTCCGTCTTGATTCATTCCATCACGATTTTTTTTAAATGCACGATTAATCTATTCAAGCATTTAAAAAGTAATTCCCACACTGCAGTGAAGAAAAGAATAAAGTCGTGGGAAGTAGTTTAAAAGAAAATCGAAGAATAGTTTTGCGCGCAAAAAAAAAATACGACGAAGATCATTCAATGGTTAATCAAATGTTCGAGGGTGAAAAATAATCGAATAAATATTTTAAACAATTTAGACTCAAGTTGAAATCTCAGAAATTTCACGTGTTCAACGAACACATTTTTTTTGCTGAATCTGAATTTCGATTTTTAGAACTACATTAATTTTGATTTTGACCACAATTGAAATCCGATCCCAAGAAAATTCTTGCAGTCTGTAAAACTCATAACTACTGTAGTTTTGTTTTTAACCTCAAACTGAAAAGTTTTCCGAGGAATTGGAGAAAGCAGATTTACATTACGCAAAATTGTCTTAAACTTTTATTTCCAAGTACCGTGGAAGGAAACTCTATCCCAACAAAATTTCCCTTTTCATCGACGCGTCGCGCCAAAAAAATTCGCACTTCTGCAAACACTAGACAACGACTTTCTCACGGCTTTTCAGAGCCTCATAAATTTCTCGCCAATAAACGCAGAAGGAGCGAGAAAAAGGCAAGGACCGACATTCGCAGGGTAAAAAAAATGTTGAGGGAAATATTCTATTTTTTTTTCCTTTCGCGTACACGCAAAAAAGGGTTCTCAATTTATTTATTTTCCCCTGGCTTGCTTTCATTTTTTTTTTTTTGCGTGTGTCCTGGCGGCGCGGAATCGATAATTTGCACGAGATATCGGCGAAAGGAACCAAAAGGGGGTGAAGTGGGTTCATCGCACTTTTGCACACTCTTTGCGCGGATCACATCCACGTGGATTTTTGCGCATGGTTTTTGCAGAATTAATTGTCTTTCTAGTTCCTTCTTGTTTATTTTTAAAAATCTCATGCCAGCGCTCGAAGAACCAAACCCAGGGTAAAATCAGGATAATTTTTGGGATGAATCAGGAAATTGAATTCGAGGTGCGGAAAAAATTGTAAGTTATTATGGAAACAAAGTGAATCCCTAAAAAAAATCTATCCCTAAAATTAAGCAGTAGATATTCCAGTAAATTTCTAAAAAAATACTCGGAATTACTTGCACTGTTGACCAAACTCAACTCTTGTTTTCTATTTTTTTTTAAATTAGCGGAATGATCAAATTGACTAAAATCCTTCCAGAAACCTTCTAGTTCCCTACAAAAATTTCTACACACTTGAAAGACATCATTTTCTTTCCAGACAAAAAATCTTATTTATTGAAATCAATAAATAATAAAATTTGGAAAAATGAGCAACGCAATAAAATTGCTTTTAGTCTACTGTATTTGTCGCAGAAGCTGACCTTTTCAAGTAGGGTACAAGTCTAAAATTATTCAACTAAAATGCAACAATTGTACATGCCATTTTTCTTGGGATTTCAAAACAAAATTGCAGATATCTGTTTATATAGAAATAGTCAGTAAAACCTTTGATGACCTCTTTTTACCAAATGAAAACTGAAAAAATCCATCCTACTCTCAAATCTAAAATACAAATTTATAAATGTCAAGATATAGGTTGTTATCCTTATTTTTTTAAAGACTGAAAACTTCCAAGTTTGTTTACAGGTGGTACTGCACCTTGCAATTTGACCTTAATCCATTTCCAAACATTGCAAATCGGTCAAATTGCAAGGCACCCAATCAAATTCAAAATATAAGTACAAAACACAAAAAATTTAAAAAGCAGGTCAAATTGCAAGTCAACCTCCCTGCAAATTTGACCATTGAATGGTGGGATGTTTGAATTTCAGGAGGTCAAATTGCAAGGTACCACCTGTATTGCCTTTGATGAGACCTTTGAAAGGAAAATGACTTGAAAAGTCTTTGCCTTTCATACAACAATAGTCTTCATTGCACTTTCCTACACCAGACTCAGAGACAGGGCAGCACACACAGAGTTTCCCTGCACAGGAGTCTCACTGAAAGTCAATGCACTATAATTGTCAGGAAAAAATCTAAACCAAGTAATTTTTGCAATGATTTGAAGGCTCCAGACAAAATTATTGATGCATTTTTTTTGTGAGCCTGAGAACCAAACCCAGGTTTGGTTCCCAGGCTCACCCAAGGACATTTCCTAAAACTGCAAAAGGGGAAAGAATGAAAGTAGCCAAAATCCGGCCTTCATCCTTAATCCTAAGAATTGTTGTGGTTAACTAAAAACCACTGGCTTGTCACTCTGTGTTGAACTCTCAATTTGTGCGGATCTCCGGAGAACTCTTGTGAATTTGCAAATCTTAACCAATTCCAAAATTGGTTTCTGTTCTTGTACTTGTGTATTTCTCTAATTGCTCAACTTGAACTTGTCTTGAACAATATAACATCTTAAACTAGGACAACAAGTCCCGGCCACAGCCCAGCTGTTTGAATTGCATTTAATTTTTTCTCTCAATTGTCTAAAAACCCAGTTACAAATTTTGTATTTTCTCAATCTTTATTTCTATGCCTTTTGTGTGGTAAAAGAAAAATCTTCTGTTAATCTTTTCCTCACAATAATGCCTCTTTGAGATGATTCTGGCAGGGGTTCATATACTGTACTGCAAATATTATTGACAAGGAAGTACTGTATCTGTATAGACCCGTGCATCAGTGCAGGTACCAACTTGCATATCATTGTACAATCAGGAGGGAAAAAGGTACAGGGAGGAAGCTCACTATTGGAAAATCTCAAAGGAAGGGTTTATTCAGGAGAGGAGGCATAAATATGTACTACAACTATCACTGATTGAACGCAACTGAATTATGTACTGTGCAAATAGGTTCAACTTTTGACTAAAAGAGGTTTGTGGTACCTTAGTGTATTCCCGAGTTAATCGGGGCATGCGCGGGCGACATCTAGTCGACCCGTGACATATGCTTATATAGAAATAGTCCGTATGACCTTTGATGACCTCTTTTTACCAAATGAAAACTGAAAAAATCCATCCTACTCTCAAATCTAAAATACAAATTTATAAATGTCAAGATATAGGTTGTTATCCTTATTTTTCTAATGACTGAAAAGTTCCAAGTTTGTTTACAGGTGGTACTGTACCTTGATTTGACCTTAATCCATTTCCAAACATTGAAAATTGGTCAAATTGCGAGACACCCAATCAAATTCAAAATATAAGTACAAAACACAAAAAAATTGAAAAAGCAGGTCAAATTGCAAGTCAACCTCCCTGCAAATTTGACCATTGAATGGTGGGATGTTTGAATTGCAGGAGGTCAAATTGCAAGGTACCACCTGTATCTCCTTTGATGAGACCTGTGAAAGGGAAATGACTTGAAAAGTCTTTGCCTTTCATACAAAAAATAGTCTTCATTGCACTTTCCTACACCAGACTCAGAGACTGGGCAACACAAACAGAGTTTCCCTGCACAGGAGTCTCACTGAAAGTCAATGCATTATAATGCCTGTTTGAGATGATTATGGCAGGGGTTCATATACTGTACTGCAAATATTATTGACAAGGAAGTACTGTATCTGTATAGACCCGTGTATCAGTGCAGGTACTAATTTGCATATCATTGTGCAATCAGAAGGGAAACAGGTAAAGGGAGGAAGCTCACTATTGGAAAATCTCAAAGATTCCCAAATAAGTCCTCTCCTCCGTATTTATACATGATGTTGATAGTGACTAACTTGCGTTGACTTAATACATGACACGTTTATCCAAGTTGAAAACTGATTTTCTCCAAACACCATGGAATCACATATTGTATAGCTTGTGTTTTTGCAATGTCAGGAAAAGGATTTATTATTGATCATAATTACTCTTTCTAGTTCCTGGAATTTACTCAGGGTCTTGGAATAATGGAAGGAGTATTATAATAAAACTATTTTGCCCTGGTTATAGTAGCTGTCTTATTCTTGGTAATTATTCTTTCTTGCTTCCTGCTATTCTCTCTTCATGTCTTCTCCCTTCAGCAAAGCCTGCAAGGGTTTGACATTAAGTTTGGAAAGGTTTCATCAGAAAGTTATTGATAATTTCCAATAACAAGGTAATAAAATAGGATACAGCTTTCCATGGGTTCTCCAGGAGAAAATTTTATTTATACAGGTGGTACCTTGGAAATTGACCTTGCGCAATTCAACCATCCCACAATTTGACAGTCAAATTTGCAGGGAGGTTGACTTGCGATTCAACCTTTACCCCACAATTCAACATGCTTTGGGCATTTTTTGCATTTTTGTACTGATATTTTTGAATTTCATAAAGTGTCTTGCAATTGAGCCCTAGTTTGGCAATGGATTAGGGTCAAATTGCGGGGTACCACCTGTATACAATACTGTACTTCAAAACATCATCAGTAGATGGTTGACATTATGTTCTTTTCCAGACACACAAAAATAAAGAACAAAGTCATCTTCCACTAAAATCTCAAATTTGACCTCCTGCAATTCAACCATCCCACAATTGGACAGTCAAATTTGCAGGGAGGTTGACTTGCAATTCAACCCTTGCCCCACAATTCTACGTGCTTTGGCCATTTTTTGTTGCATTTTTGTACTGATATTTTTTAATTTCACAACGTGTCTTGCAATTGAACCCTAGTTTGGCAATGGATTAGGGTCAAATTGCAAGGTACCACCTGTATACACTACTTCAAAACATCATCAGTAGATGCTTCTCATTATGTTCTTTTCCAGACACACAAAAAGACAGAACAAAGTCATCTTCCACTGTAATCACAAATTTGACCTCCTGCAAATCAACCATCCCACAATTGGACAGTAAAATTTGCAGGGAGGTTGACTTGCAATTCAACCCTTGCCCCACAATTCTATGAGCTTTGGCCACTTTTTTGCATTTTTATATTGTCTTTTTTGAATGTCAAGAAATGCCTCTCAATCCAACCCTATTTTGGCAATGGATTAGGGTCAAATTTTAAGGTACCATCACTAGTATGCAATACTTCAAAACATTCTAAGTATAGAAGCTTGACATTATATTCTTTTCCAGACACACAAATAGACAGACCAAAGTCATCTTCCACTGAAGTCTCAAATTTGACCTCGTGCAATTCCTACAATTTGATGCTCAAATTTGCAGGGAGGTTGACTTGCAATTCAACCCTTGCCCCACAATTTGACCTGCTTTGTCCACTTTTTTGCGTTTTTGTACTGATATTTTTGAATTTCATGAAGTGTCTTGCAATTGAACCCTAGTTTGGCAATGGATTAGGGTCAAATTTTAAGGTACCATCACTAGTTTACACTACTTCAAAATATCACCAGTAGACCCTTGACATTATGCTCTTTTCCAGACACACAAATAGACAGACCAAAATCATCTTCCACAGAAGTCTGAGATTTGACCTTGTGCAATTCCTGCAATTTGATGGTCAAATTTGCAGGGAGGTTGACTTGCAATTCAACTCTTGTCCCACAATTTTACCTGCTTTGGCCACTCTTTTGCATTTTTATATTGACATTTTTGAATTTTAAGAAATGTCTCTCAATCCAACCCTATTTTGGCAATGGATTAGGGTCAAATTTTAAGGTACCATCACTAGTTTACACTACTTCAAAACATCACCAGTAGACCCTTGACATTATGTTCTTTTCCAGAAACACAAAACGACAGACCAAAGTCATCTTCCACTGAAATCTCAAATACAAATTTACAAAAGTCGAGCTACGAAATAATAATTAAAAAAAAGGCGCCGGGTTCCTTCCCATTGTTGCAGATATCCCCCACCAACCCTACCCCCGTTTTTTCTCCTGTCTTTTTTTTTAACCCTTCATCCTATAATTTTCAGATCATTTTTCGCCAATGTCTTTTATTTATTTATTTTAATTTTTTTTTTTCCTCAACAACCCCCACATCTTGTGAGCTAGGAAATTCTTTGACGAGTAGGTGCGAAGTTCGGCAGGAGCAGCAAAAGCGGATCGCGAGGTCCCTGTGCAAATTTGTCTTCTCTCGCCGCGGGCGTCACACGCATCACACAGCGGAATTTACGAGCTCTCGCCCCGAAACCTGAAAAAAAAAAAAACCCGGGGCTGCTTCTTCTCCTAGAGAGTGATCAAATCGATTTTCTAATTAAAACAAAAATGTCCCCTTTTTTCGCAAAAAAATATGTACCTGACTTGTACATATAGATATTTATAACCCCCTCACCCCACCCCTTTCTTCAGACGCGTCCTCAAGAACACAAGCGGTTCCTTCTGCTAGTTTCTGCGGGATATTCGCAAGATTTTCTGCCAATAATTTTTTTTTTTTTTACGAAGGACTGATTTCGGTTTAAAATCATGAAATTTATTAGCGATATTCTCCTAATTTTCTTGCATTTTCCCCTCGAATAAGGGATGATTGGAAACTAATTTGTGCATACTTGACACTGGATATTTTCTCAAATTACCAAACAAAAATTGGCAACCTTTCGAAGGACGCGTGTAAGGATTTGCAAAAAAATGCCATAATGAAGACCTGACGTCAAAAATACGTACAGACCTCGATGTCTCATTACAAGAAGAACCGAGGATATTTGTGGTTAATTTTGCAGAAATTGTGCTTAACTCATAAAAATTACGCTTTCGTGTTGCAAACAAAAATAAACATTTGTGCCGCCATTTGGATTTCCAACGCGTCACAAATTACCTGTATTCACTCGGAGGATATAAATGAGAAAGACTCATTTGCATGTTTTCTTTCGTATTCAATTGTTATTTTTGAAAATTGATAAAGAGTTTAAAAATAATTAATTAAACTTCCAGAAACCCAGCAATGATTTATTTGCGCGATGTGAAAAGAAAATAACGAAGAAGTGATGAATCGAATTTACACAAGGCGAATAAGGAGATAAAAATAATTTAATGCGATCGATTGGGATCTTTTACTCAGAATATGACTGATCAATGACCAGGAAATGATGAAAGAGCAAATGGAAAATTCTGTTCATCAATGTTTTCGCAAGAAATTGAGGAAAAAATATCCGAGACTTCCTTTTGTACGTGGGGTCGGAAAATAAATTCTAGTTGATGACCTTTACATTTTAAAAATCTTTTTTGCCAGACAGCAGCTGCAAAATTGCAAAATATTTCAAACAATATTTTAAAAAATTAACTTTCGCAGTGATTTTTCAATAAACCTCAACAATGGTTTCAACACTCTGAAAAAAAATGAAACTGTGACGTGATATGAAAACGACTTCTGCAAATAAATCGTTAATAAGGTTTACATTTCAAAATTTTTCATCATGTAGAAGGCAAGAAAAAACTGCACGATAAATACCCCAACTTTATAAAATGTGCCAACAAAATGTTTCCAATCTCAAAAATAATACTGTAATAAATTCAAATAGTTTTTCAGCGGAATCACATTAAATGATTTAAAAACTCTTCGCAAAACAAAATGAGACGAAAAAGATTTTTGCAAACAAAAACGTCATGAACCTTGGGCTGCTATTTTTATTTTATTTTTATTTTTTATCTCTCCCCGGGCAGCAAAAGTTGCTGTATAAAAAAGTGTNCTGACTTGTACATATAGATATTTATAACCCCCTCACCCCACCCCTTTCTTCAGACGCGTCCTCAAGAACACAAGCGGTTCCTTCTGCTAGTTTCTGCGGGATATTCGCAAGATTTTCTGCCAATAATTTTTTTTTTTTTTTTACGAAGGACTGATTTCGGTTTAAAATCATGAAATTTATTAGCGATAATCTCCTAATTTTCTTGCATTTTCCCCTCGAATAAGGGATGATTGGAAACTAATTTGTGCATACTTGACACTGGATATTTCCTCAAATTACCAAACAAAAATTGGCAACCTTTCGAAGGATGCGTGTAAGAATTTTAAAAAATGCCATCAATCACACCTGACGTCAAAAATACGTACAGACCTCGATGTCTCATTACAAGAAGAACCGAGGATATTTGTGGTTAATTTTTCAGAAATTGTGCTTAACTTTAAAAAAAATATATTTTCGTGTTGCAAACAAAAATAAACATTTGTGCCGCCATTTGGATTTCCAACGCGTCACAAATTACCTGTATTCACTTGGAGTATATAAATGAGAAAGACTCATTTGCATGTTTTCTTTCGTATTCAATTTTTATTTTTGAAAATTGATAAAGAGTTTAAAAATAATTGATTAAACTTCCACAAACCAAGCACTGATTTATTTGCGCGATGTGAAAAGAAAATAACGAAGTGACGAATCGAATTCACACGAGCCGAATAAGGAGTTAAAACCAATTTAATGCAATCGATTGGGATCTTTTACTCAGAATATGACTGATCAATCAATGACCAGGAAATGATGAAAGAGCAAATGGAAAATTCTGTTCATCAATGTTTTCGCAAGAAATTGAGGAAAAAATATCCGAGACTTCCTTTTGTGCGTGGGGTCGGAAAATAAATTCTAGTTGATGACCTTTACATTTTAAAAATCTTTTTTGCCAGACAGCAGCTGCAAAATTGCAAAATATTTCAAACAATATTATAAAAAATTAAATTTCGCAGTGATTTTTCAATAAACCTCAACAATGGTTTCAACACTCTGAAAAAAAAATGAAACTGTGACGTGATATGAAAACGACTTCTGCAAATAAATCGTTAATAAGGTTTACATTTCAAAATTTTTCATCATGTGGAAGGCAAGAAAAAACTGCACGATAAATACCCTAACTTTATAAAATGTGCCAACAAAATGTTTCCAATCTCAAAAATAATACTGTAATAAATTCAAATAGTTTTTCAGCGGAATCACATTAAATGATTCACATTAAAAACTCTTACGTTTTGTTTTACTCTGCTTTTTCTAAAAACGTTTGTTTTTGCAGTACTTGGAACCCGACGATAAAAATAAAATAAAAATAAAAAATAGAGAGGGGCCCGTCGTTTTCAACGACATATTTTTTCACATCGCGCCAACAGAGAACATCGGCAAAAATTTTCCGCGAGCAAAATTTCGCGCAAAATTTTTTTTTTTTTTTTGCTCGCAAGGGTTTGGACACGCTGCAGGAGTGTGCTTCAATTTCCCGCAACGAATTGCACTCTGCGCCCAAGGAAAAACTGCCACACATATTTTCCCCCTCTTCTTTCTTTTCATTGTTCCATTTGTCAAACAAAGAAAGACTGGCTGATTTCTTATTTGGTTTACACTTTTCAAATATTTGTCGGATTCAACTCTGTCCGTCACATCCAACGATTTCTGATAAGCATTTTCCACCCGAAAGGAATAAGGCTTCTTTATTCTAGAAAAGATGAAATTTTTTTTTTCGTGATGAAAATAAATGTTTAAACAAGAGTTGTATCACGAAAAACAAGGCGACACGTGTTGTCAATTTTCTTCTTTCAAATTGGTCCCAGCCAAGAAAAATTGCATGAAATGTCTCCTATTATCTTTGATCTGATTCGGAGACGAGTTTAAAATCTCTAATTCTGTCGTATATTCGAAGTTCAATTCTTGAGAAACTGAAATACTTTCATTTTTAAACGTTCTGGCATTTGAATTTCAACAACAATAACACCTTCACTATAACATTTATCATGAAATTAAAAAGGATAAATGCATCATTTCAAAGATTTTCAAATTTTTCACACTAAAACAATCGTCGCTGGATTCGAAAATTTCAATAACTGCGACGGGAACTTCAGAAAAATTGATTTTTGCACTGATTTTCTAAATAAAAGTTTAAATAAAGCGAACTTGCAGAACTGATTCGAACGTTTCTGTCGAAAAATTGTAAAAAAACAGCATTTTTGAGAATAATTTATTTTACAGCAATAGAATTCAATGCATCGACATTTTACTTGAATGTACTGCATATATGACGGGAGATAAAAACGGCACGAAATTTTTCCCAATTGAATAAGGACAGGAATATTTAAAATTGAAAGAAACAAAAAAAGTTAATTCCTGTCTCTTCAAGTTCACTTCACACTTTTCCCACGCAAAAGGTCCCCTTCACTCATTTCCACATCATCCAACGTTCGTGTTGAAAATCCAACCACAAACCGACAGAAAAGAACAACCGAGTTCATCTTACAAGGACAACAACTAGAAAAAAAAAATTGGGAGAGAAAAAAAAACTTATACAGAAGGCAAAGAATTATGAATTCACGACGTACGCACACACTCGAAAGTTTCCACGTCCTTCCGTACGCCACACGTCATCAGTAACCGAAAACTTAGACAGAGAAGAAGAAAAAAAAAAACAATTGCGAAAGGACACACACGAAAAAAAATGAAAGAAATATTTTTCAGTCTTTCAATGTTTCATCTATATACAATCGCTAAGAAAACGCAGGTGCGTTTGCGACAACACGCGCCTGACTGTAATGAGCCGGATGTCAGTCGGAGTGTCAAATTCATGCAAGAAATCTATACAAAAAAATAATATTAGAAAACAGCTTGGGAAAAACAGGACGACGAGGAATTGAGAAAAATAATAAGAAATCGAAGAACCATCCCGAAATTATTTTTTCGTCTTCTCTTGATTCCTATCTATAGTCGAAAATCAATTTCCTTTCCGAATTCTGATCGAAGGCATAATTTTGCAGCCTGATGTTTTCGAAATGAATTCACCTTTTAACGAAGTGCTGTTTGAAGACTATTCCAGCGAAATTTATGAAAGGAATAGTTAAAAAAAAGTTGCTTCTTCAGCTTCTTTATAGGGCTGTAAAAATAAAAAATGAAACATAGATAAGCTTTTATTCAAAAGAAAGACTTAGGCGTCGAACTTCAAGAGTTTTACCTGGAGTTACTATCAAGTACGATTAAAAAAAATATTCCAGCGAAGTTGCAGAAAAAAAACGCAATGTCCAATCAAAGTTCAAACGCTAAAAATAAATTCCAGAAATACACCGAAAAAATTAGAAAAAAGCACAATAAAACTAGTACCGTACCAATAATTTTATCCACTCCAAAAAATCGAAGAAATGTAACAATATTTTTTCTGACTTTTGTAGCAACTAAAAATCAATATTCCTCCGAAATCACGAAACATTTTCGGCGCTTTTAAAAATTAATAAATTGAATATAATTAAGAAAAGAACGGTTTCAAGACTATTCCAGAGAAATAGAAAAAAACGGAACGCAATTTTGCGTATATCGAAAGTTCCGCAGCTTCATATTTCGATGAAGTGTTATAAAGCTTCCAACAAAAATGAATCTGTGCGATTAAATCCAAAAACAAAATCTTGAACATTCGAGTAATGATTACAGCAGATACTTTGTGAAAATTGAAAAGAGCCATTTTTCGCTTCTTTAAAAAGGATAATCTCTCTAAACTTCAGCAGTCCCAAGTGGACAAACGCTCCGCCCAAGTTTTGCCAGAATTACTTTGACAAAATTCTCCGGTATTTCATCAAAAAAATTGAAAGAGTATGAAGCAAAAAGTATATTTCTTGCGAGTCCTTCCATTCGAACACACACGAAAAAAAAAAAAAAACTTGGGCAGTGACGCAATGTTTTGGACAATCGAATGAAGGCGAAACTTTCGATCGTAAGTATTAAAGAAGAAAAAAAACCTGGTCATCTCTCTCCCTCTCTTTTTTTTAGTGTTTCTTCGCATTTCCTATTCCAACAGGTAATAAGAAAAACCCAGCGATTCAAAATGGCGCCGTGGACTTCTTCACCTCATGGCGGAGCTTGTCAAAAGGGAACCTGTCCGCTCTCACCTTCCCGAACCCGAAAAGAAACCCAATCCTCGCACCCACCAGGAAAATGTGGCCTCCTTCCTTTTTCCACACTAGGAAACCCGTGGGATGGAAGAAGGCAGAAAAAAAGGACGAGGAAAAAAGGGAATGGCCATGAGGAAGAAGAAGAAGAAGAAACCCGAAACCCTCGATCCCCTCCTCGGCTGCATTTCGATTCAAAAAATTCTCGCCCCGGGTTTTTTTCCGACAGGTATTCCAGAGTATTCTTCATTTTTCAGGGCAACCTTCTTTCGTTTCCTCCTTATGAAAAAAAGAAAAAAAACCTCGAACTTCAGCAGAAGAAAATACGAATTCGCAACCAGTGATTGCGTGTATGATGCTGGAATAATTGACACACAACCAACCTTGAAAACAATAAAATATTTGAAAGTGCGCGAAAATGAAATCGGGTGCTTTCAAATGTTAGTAAAACGCAGAATTGTTGTTCAAAGTTCTCATTCTTCGTCTTTGGGTATAAATTGAAATTGAAACCATAAATTAAAAATTTAAAACCTTTATTCCAAGATCTCCACCGTTGAGGGTGCATAATTTCATTACGAAATTTCCTCGAATACTTAATTTCAGAATCTTGTCATGCTTTTGGAGATGGATTTTAGTGCGAAGAAAAACTCCAATAATATCTTTTACATATTTTGAGTGAACACGGCATTATGCAGGAAAAAATATAATAAACATTACGCTGCTGTAAAGTGTTGAGACATACATTATTTTTAGACACATCGTCACAGATACACAATGTGAGAAACATGAATTCTAAACAAGAACAAAATTCAAAGTTGTTAAATTCTGACGGATTTTCAGTACATGATGAAATGAGTGGAAAAAAACCGGACCAGATCAGTGGAAGTTTTTCCCTCTTCACCATGATGGGTTCTCTAAGTATGTTTTAAAAATCTAAAAAAAAAATTCCTAAAACATCACAAGGAAATTGCGGCATTTTTTCTTCCAATTATACTCAGGTTATTTTATAGTACGCGTCTTGACCCTGTTGGGAGAATGACAAGTTCGTTGGCTGAGTCCAGTTTTATAGTTTAAAGTTGTGTTCTTCTTTGTTTTTAAAACTGTGTCGTTGATTTATGTTTAAACACTAAATAGTTACTGAGCTAAAATACATATTTTACTTTAGATCGGATTACATTCAATACTTATAATAATATTCCTTGGCCCATTTTTTTTTTTTTCAGTACAATCATTGATATTCTCGCGTTCCACAAAGAAGCAGAATACTCAATTCCCATTCCTGGTGGAACTAAAAAAGAAAGAAAGAAATGAAGTCACTCATTCTTCTTTTCCTTTTCTATCCTTTCATCTTTCTTTCCCACTTCTCTCTTTTTTTTCATATAAATCTGCGTTGTAAGCGTCGATCCGTCGACGACAACGTCATCAAACGTGCTTCAGGACTCGTCGAGTTCATTAGTGCCGCAGGCAACAGGAAGGAACAAAGACTGTACGAATAATGCGAGAAAAGAAGGAAAGAAAAACACCAGCGGAAAGCAGAGGAGAAAAACGCGAGATTTCCGACCAATCGAGTAAGAAAAGACGGAAAAAATGAACGAAATAATTCTGAAGGAAAGAATGTCAATGGCGGAGAAAAAGGCGGGGAGGGAGTGAGATAATTTTCTAAAAATAAAACTCAAATTTTCGGTGGATTTAGAAATGAATTTAACAAATCAATGTTTTTTGAATGCTGTCAAAGTGTGTATCCGGGCAACGATGAATTAAATGAAGAAAAATTGTACGGTTTCCAACAGGTTAAGTAAGCTAAGACAAAATGAACGAAATAATTCTGAAGGGAAAAATGTCAATAGTGGGAAAAAAGTGCTGGTGAGAATAATTTCTGGAAAAAGTAAACCTGCTGCTAAATTTTCCATGAACTTTTTACGCATCAATTTTAAGCTTAAAAACAGAAATCAGCAGAAAAATGCACCGAATATTGAGAAAAAACGTAAAACTTCCCATGCTGGCTAAAACATCAAAATAGAAAAAATTGTTACATAATTTTGAAGGAAAGAAAACCCAGAGTCATGTTAAGGGAATTAAGCAAAAACTTCTGCAAAAACTCAATTTTCTGTTCGAGTTTCGGTTAAATTCTTCCGTATTTTCATCTGAAAAAGTTTCCGACAATTCAGAAAAGCAAACTTTACAACAACAACAAAAGATGTGAAAGAAAGAATATATGAGAAAAATGATCTCGATAAGAAGTGGCAAGCGATAAATTTTCTGCCGAATTCCAAGTTTCACTAAATTTCCAAATCAACGCTCGAGAAAATTATTATAATTTCGACATTCAGTGATACCACGAAAAAATTAACAAAGCACTGTCTCAATTAAATCATCCGTTGACTTCAAACACTCGGAATCAACAAAAACTCTGCTCAACATAAAAAAGTAATTTATCTATTAACAACAAATTTATGAACTCAATTTCCCCATAAAAACTGAAAAAATACCAACGATTCCCTTGCAGTCTATTCAAACAAGAACAGCTTCCATTATACCGTACATATATTCATAAGATGGAAAAAATCATTGGCTTTCTCTATAAATCTATAGCATTGCTAAAAATTTGATCTTCTTCACAAAGCGTCCGTTATCCGGGGTAATCACCTCAAGTCCTTCTCTCATCATTACTTCGCTTTGCGTCAACATTCACCCATACTTGAAACACTTCACACAATTTTCGCATCTCCACTCCCAGCCCTGATTCTTGTCCAAACACAAGCACAGAGAAACAAATCTACAAAGGCAACACTTGTCAAAAAAAAAAAAAAATATATATATACACGAGCAGTTCTAAAAAGCTGGCAAAGCTTTTGAAATTAAAAACCCTTTCTCAACTTCTCAGGATAAAAGAATATAAAAACATACAAGAGCGTGGAAACCTTTCGAAAAACTTTTCCTTCCTTCCTCCAAAAAAAAAAATATAAATATAAAATACCATAACAAAAAATAAATAAAAATCTCCGCTTTTCCCTCGAAACCCACGTCATCCTGTATAATCCCTGAATGAGCCCCTCGGGAAATGAAAATACCCCCACGTGACGACACCTACACCCCCGATTTGTCGCGACAAACCGACACACGACACAAATGACGAGGGTGTCCCGGGACACGTGTCAGGGATCAGCTGAATTGAGGGGTTGTTGAGACATGGAAAAAGGGGGGTGGGGTTGGGGAAAGAGGGACCGACCCAAGCCCTGTATTAATAACTTTTCGTTCCGCCTCCCCCTTTTTTCTTTTTAAGGACGAAAGTCGATCCTAACTTAGTCACCTATAGGGTGAAAAGTTAGACAGACCTACCTGATCAACAGGTAGGTCTGTAATAACTCCACAAATAATTTCCAGAGGACCTGTAATTTCAGGAAAATCAGCAAAAAACCGTGAATTTTTCATCAAGTGAAAGCGTTATGCCACTTATTTTCATAAACGTGAGCTCCATAAATGTATGAAATACAATTCGACTTTCGCACCAGCTAACAATTATATTTTGATCTGCTGTAATTTTTAAAAATATGTCTTATTTGTTTGGTAATTTTCTTATTTGATTTGAATATTATTCACGGGATTTTCTTCAAAATTTCTGTATTTTAATACGGAATACTGAACGTACCCAGATTTTCAAACTTGATTTAAAAAAAAGCAGGTGTTGAGAAATCTTCCCGCGTGGGGGAAAAAAGGGGGGTTCGGAAACTGTGTCCCATTACGATCCGTTGCCAACCTTATCCCCCAGGGACAAGTCGACAAAGGCGGATAGGTTACGTTACCCCACACTCGGGTTCGGGGGGGGGGGGGGGAATAAAAAAGGGGGGTTCGGAAACTGTGTCCCATTACGATCCGTTGCCAACCTTATCCCCCAGGGACAAGTCGACAAAGGCGGATAGGTTACGTTACCCCACACTCGGGTTCGGGGGGGGGGGGGGGATATAGTGAGTGCCCCTGCATAATGGCGCGGCAAATAAGCCCAATGACGCGAACCCGGCGCGCACAAGCAAGCAAGCAAGCAAGCAAGCAGCAACCCGTGAGAGCAGGGAACCATCAGGAGTCGCGTGTGTGTTGTCGGGTAACGAGGAGTTAAAAACGCATTCCTCTTGCTCTCTCCATCAGGAGTGCTCAACAGGGATTCCCTTCTCTTCACAGTACGGCATTTCCCCGGGTACTACACTCACATACCCAGAACCGAGACAAAAAAAAATAAAAATAAAAATGAAGAAAAAAGGGACACACTTCATGAATGTAAAAATTATACACAGAAATAGTTTACTTTATCCACGCAAACTTTAAAAATCCACAGGAACCCTTAGCCTTGGTATTGAGGACAAATGTCTTCAATATTATTTGATATGAAATGTTGATTAAAAGATAATAAAACATGTTAATCAGTCTGGGACACAACCAGGAATTCCTTTTAGGAATTCCTAGTTTAAAGGGAGAAGTGTATTTCACTAAGTACCGTATTTACTTGAGTACTTGCGCATCTTTTTTCTCAAATTCAGAAGAAAAAAAAATTTAGTAGATTAAAAAATTAATCTAAAAAACCACATTTTCAAAAAGCAAAAAATAACCTTAAACATGGTGCGCATCTATTTCATTTGTATTTCACTTCTTCCCATAGCTTGCTAGCTAGTCGGGAAGTGAGCGAAATTTGAGTTGCAAAATTTGATCCGGACAAACAAATGGACAAGAAAGCGAGTTAATAAAAAAGTGTTAAAAAAAGGGGTGTGAGTCATAAGCGGGTACAAATGTTTCAAGAAGTTTTAGGAAGTTATGAGTGCTTTATACTTGATTATAATGGAGAAATTTTGAACAAATGCAAAACGCAAACAATAAATACCGAAACTAATTAATAAATTCTATACTTTTTTCATAATCGCCGAAAATTATTCCCTCGCATCACACAACCCCGAATTTTCTCACGATCAAAATCATTCCGCAAAATTTTAACGAACTCGCAATTAACCCAGTCATCGTCAGTCTCGTTGTTAGTGTTCTGCGCAGAGATTGCAACAATTGGAAACACTCCCCCCCCCCAAGGTTTGTACAACTACTGTTCTTTACAACGAAACACCAATTGAAAATAATTGGTTCAAGGGGGGGCCCCAAACACGCGTTTGACGTCTGCCAAAAAGCCCCCCCCTGACGCGAGTGCCTTTTGACAACAAAAAAGGGTCCCCCTTGTGACCGCCCAAATGATCGCCAACCAATTGAGCGCCATGGGAAACAAAGCGTCGCCAAGTTGAGCGCTATATAAATAAAAAAAATGTTGCAAGGGAAAATTGTGCGAAAAAAATTTGACCGAAATTCAATTGAGCGTCAAGGAAAATTGAGCTCAATAATACAAATGAAAAAGGAAATTTTGCGCTGCCAAATTGAGCACAACAACAAAAACTGGTTTTTCAAAGAAAACTTGAAAACCACTAACTTGATCACAGGAAACAATTGAGCCCCACGGAAATGAGCGCAAAAGAAACTGCTCGCCAGTATAAACTGATCTACGTTCATTTGAGCGCCAGGGAAAACTGAGCACAACTCAAATGAGCACAATCAAATGCACGGTAGCACCATGGAAAACTGAGCGTCACACAAATCTGATTTTCGAAGAAAACTGAGCATCACTAGCATAGCATGAGCACTGCAGAAATTGAGCGCAGCGCAAAGGAGCGCCACTCAATCAAGCGACAGAGGAAACTTAGCGCCATCAGTGTCTATGTTGATATAGTGCATGATAATTTACCTGTACTGGTTTAAAGCTTCGCATTTAGCTCTAAAAATTGAATGATTTCAGTCAAAATGCTGAAAGAAGTTTCTCAATTTTTTTTGGAACAGCAAAATAAAATTAATCATAATTCAAGATATTTCTACGCCATAAAAATAAGAGTTCAAAAATGGTGCCAAATTCCAATCATAGAAGGGAATCAAAGCATTCAAGTTCAAAATAAATTAATTTGCACGTTGGTACTAAACTTTTAAAATATAAATGGGGCTAAAAAAATTCTACCAGTCAAAGTATCCAGCTGACGCTCAGTTGAGGGGCGCTGATTTGAGTGCGGCGCTAAATTGGCCCAGCACAAAATCCCTTCGTACATTTTCTCAC